GGGAAAAAGGTAGAGTAGCAATGTTGTTAGTGATTTATAACTTCAGACCTCCATAGGTATTATGTAGAATTAATTATGGAACTCTTCTGTTCAGTGATCTGAGAGCAAGTTTTTTCAATGCTAATCGGTAACATATTTTCCTGAATAGCTAGCCAGTTCACCCTACTAGACCAGAGGCCAGCAACCTATACAAAAAGTGGGCTGGAACAACTTGGATGTAGTGTGACATGGGCTGCAGTGGCAGGTGACTTTTGCCACACCGGAGCCAGGCAGCTGGGAGCTGTGCTTACACTGCCTATGCTTCCCTTGGATCCCATTTCACAGTGGCAGCACAGATACAGTTTCCATCTTCAGGGAGCTCCAGTTGGGCTGGGCATGTGCAAACTGTCTTTACACGTGCTCCAGGGGTAGAGGGTGGGAGGTGCTTTAATTAGAGTGGCTCTAATTAAAGCACCTGCAATGTCTTGTGTATTCAATGTCCACACTTCAAAATGGCAGCAGGGACGCTTTAACTAAAGTTTGCTTGATGAGCTTTTAGTTAAAGTTCCCCCATCACCATTTTGAAGCATGGGGACGCTGAGTACAAAAGATGTGGAGGCTGCTGGAGCACACTAATTAGAGTCTGCTCTGATGCACTGTAATTAGTGTGTTGGAGCAGTATCCCTGGATGTGTACAGGCACCTTGTGTCTGCAAAACCTCCACTTTTCCCTGCTCCCACCCCAGTGGTTGCAGCATGAATGCAGCTCCCCATGGGCTGGAAGCTACATGTCTATTTGTGAGAGAAGGTGTTGGACAAGAGACCAATGCACGGATTCGGCAACCAAGGTCTTTATTGAGTGACACACACAGATCAAGTGGGGAAAAGAAACGCTCTATCTAAATCCATACCCTCCTCACCCCCCTACCCCCAATCCACTGATGCTCAGGTTCAGTCACAATGGCCAGTCGCGATGGCTCTGGTCACAATCTTACAGGAGGGATGCTGGCAGGTTCTCCCGAGTTGATGTGGATGGCATATGGCATCGTCAGGGCCTGGTCTTCACTGTCCTGTTATACTTAGTCCAGGCAGACGGTTGCCCGCTCAGCCAGTCACTTCGTTGTTGTTGAGGTGAGTTTCTGAGTTGGCTTTATCAAAACTCACAGTCCTTCAGTCACATATGGCATGGCTTAGGCATGCAGATGGTGAGGAGTTGCTTCACAACATCCTGAGACAGGGTGTTTGTTCTGCTCCATATCTTCTTGTAGGTTGTTTGTTGTTTGTTCTTCTTATCTTCCTGTTCTCAAGGCTGCTTCTTCGACTGTAAGCTTGAAAAACATATTCATTCACTCATTCATGCATTTGTACAAAATTAATTCTTAATTCTCTTAACAAAGGGGTGGGGGGAAATGGCAAGAGTGCAGATGCAGCTTGCAGCTGCTCAACCCCAGCGCAGTTCCCCATGGTCTGAAAGTTGCACTTGCACATTGTGGAGGGAGGCAAAGACCTCTAGCTCTGTGTGCTGGATCCAACAGCTCTGTGGGTTGGATCCATTGATTCCATCCTGTGGGCCACATATCGTCACCCCCCGTACTAGACAGATTGCTATCTTCACAGTTAGCTTGTATTCCTAAATATGTTAATTATGCCATTTTAGATTGAAAATATCACCTTTTTGTGGTTTCCATTCTTAATCTGTGCTTCAGCCCTGAAGAAGCTATATACAAATGTTCATTCCTAGTATTGGAAATTTTCCACTGCTAGAAATGATTTTGGGAGAGGTGACAGTACAGATGTTCAGTCTTTAACACCCTCACGTCTTCCCAACATCAGGGTGATCCCAATCTGGGGAAAGTGTGCGTTGTTCCAGTTTTCCTGTTCTTCTGGGGGGGGGGGGGGGAGAGGAGGGAACGGAATGGGACACACGACAGTAGAGCAAAGCCCCTTTCTCTGGGGACTCTGGAGTGAGAATTAGGTAGGGGGCCAATGGCACTGCTTCCTCCACTTGGCTCCCAATGCCTGGAAGCTGACCAGAGGGAGCACTGGTGTAAAGCCCCTGGCGTGAAATCTCACTCCAGTTCACAGTACTGCTCCTTCTGCTTGGCCTCTGGGCCAAGTGGATAGAGTGGCAGGGAAAAGCCCTCTGGCTACTTCTCACATTGGGGACTCCAGAGTGAGAAGCAGATGGGGAACAGCTGGTGGCTGCTCCTTCCCTCCTTTCCCAGTATGCAGGAGCTGTCCCTTGCCTTCTCCAGACTGGGTTGACCCTGGTCTCTGGAAGGCACAGGAGACTCCCCATGGTTCCATTTGTCCTGGTCTCTAGGAAGAGTTAAGCCAGGGCAAAGTGTGCATGTGTTTATTCTCCTGAGAGAAACTCTCCCAGGAGCAGTTTCTACCTGGATGTAGTCAGGTTAATTTTCTTTTGGAACAGCTCCAGGAAAAAAAGATGAAATGTTAGCATACCTAGTGGTTTCTACCAGGAGAGCAGTGCTTCTCCCACTAGAAACTAAACGTCTGTACATGGCCAGAGACAAACCTCTGTTCATTTTACTACTTCTGTGTGGACCATTTTATGGTAACTTTTTTTTTTTAATGAATTGGCAGCTACCTTTATAACCTTATGTAGAAAATAGAGTTCAGTTGAGCTTGATTCTTTTTTTTTATACAACTAGTATTACAATGACAACTCTCTATTGGCTTCAGTAGAACTGCACTGGTATAAACTAATATCCTGCAGTGGAAAACAAGGCAAATGGATTTAATATCATGGAAACAATACCAAAGGTATTCTCTGTAGTCTGTCAGATGGGAATATTTCAGTACTGTGCAGTTAAAGGTATAAAATAATTAAAGCTATTATGATGACATTCAGTCAATGCATCGTCAGTCACCATAACTATAACAGGGAAGATTTAAGGGCATTTATGGCCAGAAAAGAAACTTTGAAATAAGCAGTATGTGGTCCGTTTATGAGTTCACAGTCAAAATTGCTCCATTTCCAGGTTGAATGTTAGTAGTTTTTCTAATTCCCAACTCTACAGTCCAAAAGTCAGAATATGCTGTTTTTGAGCTTGGGACCAGAATGTAATCTAGCTCCCACTTCCAGAGCTGCAAGATAGAAGAAAGAATCATCAAAATGTACTGGTTTGCTGAAGCAAGCACATATGATTCTAAATTAAATAAGGCAGTGGATTTGTTGAGCAAGAAGGTGCTACTTGCATAGAGTTTTACTTTTCAGACCCTAAGTAGATTTAAAAGTAGCATTTCTTTGCTCTTTTCACTTGGGGACATACCTTAAAATCTGTCTGTGCCTGTGAAATTATACCCTAAAAATCCCACATTTGCACAGAGAAAAAGAATCATGTGCACATCTTTAGAAAATTAAGTCAGTTATCTCATTTTATATATAGCTTATTAGTTTAAGGTAGTTTTTGTTTGGTCTTTGAAGCTCATTGTTGGTTTTCATTTTTAGAACTATTGTTTACAAAATGTCGAACTGAGGTGTTGACACTAATGACTAAAGAAAATTCTTGCATGCGGTGATATAAATACAATTTTAATTATATATTTTGGCCTCTCCCTAAACTTTTACTTTCTAACACCATATTGTATCAGAATGATTCATGAGCCTGTTAGTTTTGTTTTAGCACAAACACTGGGGTCTGAGCTGCACTCATCTCAAGGACCATACTTGTCTAGAAAATATTAATAGTGGTGTGTCTTCTCATCACACCTACAACACACCATCTCTAATACAGTATTTTTTTACATTGTTGTTACTTCTAAGCAATATCTCTTGAAATGCATCAAAACACTAATCCTGAATAAGGCAAGTTTTGAATATTTTAAAAGCAGACTTTATTCATCATTGCCGTATAAGCATCTGCAAAATATTCAGTAAAAAATATATTTGTTGATACTGTCTTTCTCTCTCCTCTTAACTTTTCCTCTTTCTTCTCAGATTTTCATTTGCTTTTCTATGGGTATGGACACGCATATATTTGGACCTGTTTCAGAACAAGACCTTTTCAAAAGGGGACCTGCTGGCAGTGGGAGCAATGCCACAGCTGTTACCTGTGGACAAGCAATCAATGATCAGCAATCAGGATCAATGCAAATATAGCAAAACTGCTCCAAACTTTCATCCTGGATAGAAGAATGGTGAAGTTAAAGCTGTTTTGCTGCATTTGTATCATCCTGGCTTTGTCCAAATATTAGAAATTAACAGCTGCTGCACAGTTCAGAGCAAGAGTCATCATCCCCCTCATCCCCCTTTTGAACTGGTTCAAAATGTACATGTACATGAAAATCCTTTCACTCATTGACTCACTGACTTCCTGTCTGGCCCTTTGCCTTAGTCCTAGCTTTCATTTTTACAATTTTCAACATTAAATAAATTTGTCTGCCAGTGAGAGTGGCCATTCACTTGACCTTATCACAACTAAGCATTACTCCCTCTTTATTTTTTTCAATATGAGATTTGCTCTGTACCATCTTATTTCTAAGATTGTAAACTGACTGCCTATTCCTGCCTGCCTGCCTTATTCTGGTCTGTTAACATCCACAACTTCTTAGGCCTCTTTATTTCACTCACCTTCTTTCTCATTTACCTTCTCATTTTCCTTCAACTCTTGCCTTTCTTTACAAATATAAAATCCCCCCAGCTGCTTCTGCTCCTGCTTCTGTGTCACTGAGAGCAGTGTGAGGAGATAAATTTTGTCTACAGCATTTCTTGTGTTCCTCCTTTCTGCCATCTCCCTGGTCAAGCAGGACTACGTTTCTGTCCCTACTGGACTTCCCTGCCCAGTGTCTTATTATTTTCCTATCTCCATAATTGTGGAGCCTCACACACCATCCCCTTGAAAATCCTAATTACTGTGTGTGAAATTCATCCATAATGCATATTTTCTAAATTAATTTAATTCAGTACAAACAGGTTGCAATAGCTCATAGCATCTGTCAAATTACTTTAGTTATGATGTACTTGCTAAAAAAAAATTCTTTTTTTTTTTTTATAAACAGGAAATAACCACTTGTTCGCCAGACTACTATAAATGGACACAGTACCTCTTTATTAAGTTATTCGAAGCCCGGTTAGTTTATCAAAAAGAGGTAAGTGCAATCTTTGACCTGTAAAATTATGCATGTGTTTTAACCTGAATATCTTGAATCATTCATACTCCACACAACATCTTTCACTCTTCAGTTCACATTTATTATGGAGGCAGGTATTTATGTTTTACAGTGATATGCAACCACAGATATTATATATTAATGAGTAGTTAGCTACCATTGCCAGACAGGATGGAAACATAAATCAGTGATTTTTATTAAAGTGGTATCTGTTGGCCATATGCAAGCAATTTCTTGGCAGTATATTCTGAAAAGCTAAATTGTGATGTAGGTTGAATTAGTTTATTTCCTGGCTGTTGATATAACTACTCACTTAGAGCCTTATTCTCTTCTTAGTGAGGTCCCAGAAATATTTGCCATTGATGTAAAAGGGATCATGATTGGGACATTTAGCTATGCTGTGCTAGCTAATGCACATCTTTATCTCATGCCTCCAGCGCACTTGAGATTAAACATTATTTCTGCACAGTCTGAAGATTCTTTTCTTACAATTGTAAATTGAATGCAAGAGGAGAACGTATGGCTTTGTTAAAGCAATGAGGATGACAGATGTGGTGTTCTACTGTAGTTAGCATTTCATTCCATGGTTATGTATGCCATACCAGGGATTACCTCCAAAGGGATACATTGGTTCAGTTGGTCTGGGAGCTAGAGTCAGTGGAAATGAACAGAGTCTGTCTGCATCCTGCAATCTCAATAAGAAATCCATTTTATATTCATCACATGGAACCCTATTTCTTGTCTTCAGTGAGAGACTTCACAAGTCCTGAACGCTGGTGAGGGGTGTATGAGGTAGCAAGGTGGAAGGGATGAAGCACAATATTAAAAATGACTTTTCAGCTCCTGATTTTAGTGTGTACTGCTCTGTGCTTTTATCTGTTGTTTGTGTTGGAGTTATTTATTCTGAATTATATGGCAGTATTAATTACTGCCAGAGTCACGTGGCCTGTTTAATCACAAACCACAATTTTTAGCACAGATATTACCTCTTCTTAGTAAGTGAAAATATTCAATTTCTTCTCAGTTTTGGATCATAGCCTGTTTATAATAGTACAGCTTTGTTTTATTTTAACATTTATCACTTTTTAATATTGTTTGTTTTATGTTCCTCCATGTTTTAACCTTTCAGTTTCCCAGTCTCTTTAGTAGGAAATGCTTTACAAATAAAAAGGTTGTTATTTTAGAGTCAATTTTATTAAGATTTGTACTGTTACTGAAAATAGAAATTTTGATTGGCTTTGAAAATGGATCTGCAATAATAGGGTATATTGATTATTTTTAGTTTCCCATGGTATAGTATAATGTCAACTTATTTTAATGAAAAGGTCTGACATTATCAGCAAGTTACAGATGAAAGGCAGATGAACCATATAAAGCATGAATTCCTGTGATACATTGAATTCACTTGGGCTTGATTTGAAGATAAGGGTTTATATTTATCATCAAAAATAACTCTTTCATTCATGAGATCTATTATTGCAGTCAATGCAGAGGCAATCTGATTATGCACAAAAGAAATCATTGTTAATGATAAGAACAATGGTATTCCAAAGAGGAAAGGAATCAAACAGCTACATACTACAGTATTTTTCTTTATCCTCACCGCAACTTTTGCTTCTACCTGAGCACAGTAGGCAACCTTTTTTCCAGCTTAAAAGTTGAAGCAGGAGAAAAGTGGTAAAATAAACATAAAACATAGTAGTATGAGGATCTCAGTATTTGCTGGTTTGGGGGGTTTTGCTTTTTATTTTAATTTTTGTTTTATTCTGACAGCTACTGAGCTCTTCTAAGTACCCAGTAGATTTATTTAATTTATTTCAAATAACGTGCTGGTTTGTATAACCTTATGGCTCGGAACAGAAATTGATCGGATAACCGGTTCAGATTTGTAACGCAACTGAAGTTCAGTGCATATAAGCCGCTTTCAAAATGACTGAAACCGTTTTAAGATAAATCTGGTTGAATGTAGTATCAGACTTAATTGGTTTAGGTTAAATTGGTTGATTGAACTTCTGTCTCAGATGCCCTCCAGATTCAAAGTCCCCCAGCATCCCAGGATGGTTTGCACCTCCCTCGCAAACCCTCACCTTCATAGGGTGGGTGGACTAGCCTTGGCCCAAGCTGTTTGCTCCAGCAGAGCAGGGAGGCATGCTCTAGCACTCCTCTGGCTTCTGGTCTGGACCACTGCAGGCATGTGGCTGTATTTCCGGAATCAAAAGTGAATGTCTGTTCATTTGCTTATCGGTTCAGTCTACACATCTTAGACTAACCTGTGAAGATTGATCAATTCAGTCTCAAGCTTTTTGACTGTCTTTACTTAGCCTATGAGGCCGGGATCTGAACTATATTTCAGTTGATTGGTTTTAATTTTTATAGTTTCACTAAAGTTCCAAAATTAGGCTGCATACAATAGACTGATCTTCAGAATTGCTTTTACTCTTTCCTTGGTATTTGCCTCTCTGTTTATTTTTAAGTAAACACCTCATGATGAATAGTGGCATGTCTGTTTAGGACACAGGACTGGCAGAGACTTCCTGGGCCATGAAATTACAGACAATATTTTAATTACTGTACCCCAAAATGATTCTGTTTTAGTCCTTTTTGATAAATAGCTACATCTTTTGATTTTTCACAAGATCATTTTTGTCACATGTAACATGTATGACATTTTTATTTAGCCCAAAATGTTGCTAACAACAACGTTTTTTCATGACTTGAACACAGGCTTGACTACATATGTTCACTTTGCTGTCATATTCAGTTATTTTTAGTTTACTTGGATTTAGATAAATAAGAAAGAGTAACCTCTAAAACAATGCACCTTTTCTCATCAAGAATTCAGTACAGAAAATGTTACCTGTATAACAGTAGTCACAGATGATCAGTCTTACTACCCAACACTTTTTGATGTGGTACTCCCTATCTTCTTAAAGCAGAGCTCCTTAGACATAAAGCCTTTTTTCTTGATCCACAGAGCTCTTGCATCAGTACATGCCAGTTTAAACTTCAGTCTACATACTTGTTCAGTAAGGTCAATGAAAATCATGTTCACTGATGCTTTTATTTTGTTACTGAAAATAGCAAATGTCATTGAGTCAGTATATCCCTGCTAGTTTGATCAATTCAAGCAAAAATACTTCAGCATTAGCCATACCAACTTTGGTCTTTAAATTCTCTTTAACGTCTTTAAATTCTCTTAAATTCTGAAGAGCAAGGTATGCAGCAGATCCTCAGTTGCATCTTGCTTATTCATTGACATTTTATAATGCAGAAATTGTGGGAGCTCTTGGAAACTGCATTTGTAGAGTCGTGTTAGTATCTGAGCAGTTAAGCTAACTTTTTTTGACATACATACTAAAAAGAGTACTGTTTCCTGAAACTTCTTTAGGCCTTGGTTAATTGGGACCCAGTGGATCAGACAGTTCTAGCTAATGAACAGGTGGATGAAAATGGCTGCTCATGGCGTTCAGGAGCAAAAGTGGAACAGAAGTATCTCAAGCAGTGGTTTATCAAGACTACTTCTTATGCAAAGGTGTGAGTATGAAGGTTTGGGGCATTAACCCCTTTAGTCTCTTCATATTTTTGTCCATCTAGCAACAGACTGTTACGCAGTTTCCATTTTCATTTCCACTCACTTTTCTAAAGTGAGAATGCTAACTAAATGGGTATGGAATTTAGTACTGAACAAATTGAAAACAGAAAAATACAGGTGTGAGCGGGAACACTGTAAAAAGGAACTCTGATCCAGTTCTTAGTTGACCTCTTATATGGCTCCACTTACACACTGCAGGGTCTAAGATTTAGGCAGCTTACTCTAGGGGGAGCAATCCTGATTGACAGGGTTGGGGGCCTAGGTGGCAAAGGAGATGCTTTTTTGCTGTCAAGGTCTACATTGTGCATAGAGGAGACAGCTTCATGAACCACCATGCCTAACTGACAGCAAGCATTGACTTCAGTATAAAGCATAGCATCCCCTGTTCATTCTTGAACTTGTCCATGCGGAAGAGGAAAAGCTCGCTTGTTGCCCAATAGCCTAGCAATGTTAGCACTGTTTGGTTTACAAAAATGATTCACAAGATGAACTCAGAGATTTCAAATAGAAATACATAGTCGTCATTTTTCTGAGTTCTTTGCAAAAGAAAAACTGCTCCATTATTTTTTTGTAGTCAAAAAAGAGTGAAATCTAAGAGCTGGCATTTTCGGAGGGGTGGGTCAAAACTATCCAGGGGTGTCTTGAATATCCATGGGTGCCTTGAGCCTAAAAAGATTTGAGAATTACTGGTTTAGTGGCAAGAGCACTTGTCCAGGAAATGGGACACCTGGCTTCTTGGGCCTCTTTAGCCTAAGGGGGCTCAAACCTCCATCTCCCATATCTCAGAAATGTGCCATTCCCAATACACTCTCACTTGTTGTGCTCCCTGGCCTATTTGTCCAGGGAACCCAGTCTAGCTCACGGCTTGGTGCTTAGGTAGTGTGCCGTACATACGTCATGGTTTGACTGGAACAGTTCTGGATTCCGTAGGCTGGTCCTGGCTGGTTGGTCAAAAGTCCTGGGCTGAAGGCCAGGAAGAAGGTGGAGTGGCATGGTACACCAGGCAGGTAGACACTGCTGTCACTGTGCAGGAGCAAGAAATGTAGGGATCTTGGATATGGCATCACAGATAGGATGACCATATGTCCACCCACACAGTGGCAGTGGTGACTGCACACACACCTGCCTGGCACCCCATCCCACTGCACCTCCCTGCTGGACTCTGGCCCTGGACTTGGGACTGGCCTATGGAACCCAGGATTCTTCCAGCCAAACTGCGATGTATGGTCACCTTATGCTAAGGGCCCTCTCCCTGGAGGTGAGAGTTACAGGTTTGAGTTTTCTCAGGCTGAGGAATGTCTGGAATCCAGGTATTCCACTTCTTGCACAAGTGTTCTTGCCAACGTGCTACTGGGGAAAAATATTCCTCCTTTACCTCCTTTCTGCTGAGTTACATGCATGCTGCTGCCATCAAATGGTTGTTAGGCATATTCTGTCCTTGCTGAAGGAATTGGAGGCTTATGCAATTTAGTTGCTTCTCAGCACCAATTCAGACGACAGTAATCTTTGATGGTAGTTAAATACCCATGCAGCCAGCCTGGATCACTCCTGGTCCTGTGCATTGGCCCAAGGTGAGGCACCTCAGTGTCAGTTCAGGCCAGAATAGAGGCACCTCATGAATTTAGGTACCTAAGCAGTTGTGCAGCTTTTTACAGGTAAGGTTCAATGTTTGAAAATCTGCTTGGTGAATCTGTCTTCCCAGCTCATATGAGTCTTTACTTAGCAATATAGACTGAATTATTATTAATGATATTTTCATGTTTTTCTTGAGGCTTCTATGAGATATTCATCACAGCCCAGAAATATTCTTAATCAAGGTATACACTATAGGCAGATCATCTTTCCATTTATAGAAACAGAAGAGTAGGCTGGAAGGGATCCAAGAAGTCATCTAGTACAACCCACTGCTCAAGGCAAGATCATCTTTGTTTAAACCATTCCAGACAAGAGCTTGCCTAACCTGGAGGTGTCAAACTCATCTAGCGTCATGACCAGTCAGCAGGCCAGATCAGGTCAACAGACCAGCCCCATGTGCCAGATCCAGCGCACAGGGTTAGGTCAGTGCAAGTGGCACATGCATTGCATGCCCTAGACCAGCACAAAGATTTAAACTGGTGTGATTGCCCCGTGAACCTCACCCCTCCCACTCCCATCCCAATTGGCTCCACATGCTGTATGCAGCACATGCCAACCTTAGCCCCATGCAGGATGCAGTGCATGGGGCCAGTTCAGAATATATGCTACATTTGGTGCTTGCACTGGATCCAGCATGTGTGGCCAGTCTGTGGGCCCCATCCGGACTGGCCCTGGATCTAGCATGCAGAGCCAATTCAGCATGGGCATCATATGCAGTGCACATGCCAGACTGGCCCCATGTGCTGTGTACGTTGTATGTGTGAACTCCAGTCCCCGCCCACAGCATGTGCAGCCTGTGCCAGGTGGGCAGCACATAAGGCAAAATCCAGTGCGTTCTTCATGGAGTGTGTCAATCCAAGGCTCAGAGACAGCATTGCAGGCCAGATGCTAGTACTCACTTGGCTGCATCCAGTCTGCAGGCCATATCTTTGGCACCCTGTATAATCTGCTTTTTAAACTTCCAGGGATGGAAATTCCACAACCTCTGTAGGTTATCCGTGTTCTTCTTTTATATTCACCAAGTTTCTTTGTTTTTCCCTTCTTTTTCAACTCTGGTTCTTTTACTTAACCTTTGTATTCATGCTTTAAGTAATCCATAAAATAACAATAATGATCGTAGAGTCGATATGGACTGTGCAATCACTTTATTTGTTGTATGAGTCAGTTGTCTCTCTCATGCATAAGACATTGGTTAGACTCACAGTATGCCAGAAGTGATATTATTTTTTGTTCTGATTTGGATGTTATTACTGCACCTGCACTCATTCATTTCTTAAAATGAAGAAAATAAAAGCTGTACAAAAACTAGGCCCGTTCACGTGGTAATTTACCAAAGAAAATGCATTTTATTACCAGGAGCAAAAGTAGTGTCCTTGATTTAGACATCTATGCAGGAACCCTTATTTGTTGACTGTTTCAGTCATATTATGAGTGTTGACGTCCATGTTGGCCCATTTTTTTCAAAACTATCATATAAAATTAAGACAGTCACATAACTTTTTTTTTTTTAAAGTAAATTTAATTGGCTTTTTTGCTTTGACAGATTTCCTTCATAAAAGTACAATGCTTAACTGATGGCATTATTATTCAAATTCTTATCTATGCATTTTTAAATTTTAAACTGAAATGTTTTGTTTCTATGGTTACTCACCTAGGTCTTTATTCAGTTTCTTTGGAAAAGCTGTCTATAAATGTTAGTAATTTCTGTATGCACCTGTAAATCAGTATAGTTATGTTTCTGTGTAGAAGTTCAAATCGTGATATGTAAGGTTGGCCTTCTGTTAGTCCTTTTTCTCCAAAAAAAAGGACCTTTGTAAACAGATCAGAAAAAGCTAAGTACCTATAACAGATGGATATTTATTTATTTTAAAAGCAAAGTAAAGAAATCCACTTCAAAAACTGTAAAAGAGAAACAGCTCTGACGTTTCATGTTGTTTCATTAAATTATTTCACTAGGTTTTTCCTAGTCCTGAGAGAGCTTACATGTACTTACCGCTAATTGGGGCAGGAGGGAAGGGGAAGTTGGTTCTTTGGGGGAGTTGGGGGGCTAAATATCCCCTGTTCCTTGGGGGTGGATGCCCACACATTCCTCCAAGCCCCCCATGGACCCTGATAGCCCCCCCCAATTCTGCCAGTCCCTCCTACAAACACCTGCTGCCCCCCTGATTGCCCCTGTTCTCTCCTGCAAATCCTACCTGCTCCCCTGGTCACCCCTGCAGATCCTGCCTACCCACCATCTGCCCCCTATCCCTTCTATGAATGCTGCTTGGCACCCTGATCCCTCCAAGGATGCCACTTCCCCCCGAACCCCCCTACAGACCCCCTAATCCCCACCACTCTCCGAGCCTGCTTGTTTCTGTGATTCCAGCCCTCGGTGGCCGATTCCAGATCGGGTGGCCATTTTTAACTTGCTGTAACCGCCCCGAACACTGTACGTAGCCTTAGAGTTTTATTCACGAAATGAGCTTAACTCTTGCTATTTTCTCCAAATGGCATATTTTTAATACATTGGCAAATAAAGAAGAGTGAAAAAGCATGTTATAGGCAGAGGGAAAGCTGGATAGACAGCAAGGATAGTGAAGGAAGAAAAGCTGCTGCAAATTTCAAGGGTTTGCCAGAGAGATTTTAACACAGGTACAGTATTGCTCCAAAAAAAAAAAAATGAGCACATTTAGAAATTCTTCAATAGAATACAGAATAAATAAGAAATTGTTGCTCTATCTTTATTTATCACTGCTTTATTATATGTTGAATTGTAGCAGATTACTTCCTATTGACTTCTTAATACTTTGATTCTTCTTAATACTCTTTTGGGAGTTGGTTTAAATATGGGTAAGAATTAGAATTTGCCAACTTCAGTAGATCCTAAATATACTTATGACCACCTACCAACAATTTCTAAACCTAGTAATTCCCGTCATTATTTTGTATTTATTTAATAAAAGTCATATTTTACTAATAATTTGAATACTTTCGAAATAAAATTATTTGACCCCTTTTTATATTATCTTTTCTGTTTAGTGTTGTAGTTTAGTCTTTTAATGTCGTAAATGTGCCTTAGTTATAAGCAGATCTAAAAGCCTTGGTTTTATAGGTCATAGTTGGGTTTGATTTATTTATAAAAAGGTCCCTTCAGTGCTTTTACTATCACTGAGGCATTGAATCTCTTCTCATATTAATGTGGATTGGATGTCAAGCTTTCTTTCTAAAACTCGTATTTTTCTAAGTCACGTAGAGATTGAGTTTTCTGTGTATTAAGAGCTGCCATCCCCCATCCTTCCTTTTAGCAATACAAATGGGGGAGCTGTTTGGGGTTCAAACATTTTTGGGGGAACCACAAAGAATTTTAAACCTTCTGGATTTATTTAAATTGGTTCGGTCTCTAGCTCGCATTATGTGGGCTGTATTGCTGTATGAATGGATGTTTCAGCTGAATATGTAATTCATCATCCTCCCATTCTAGAAGACTTTGTTTTTGAATTTGGTTACTACTTCTATGCAATTGGCTCCACGTCTCATTTGATTCTGTTCCAGCTGACTGGTAGCAGTCTGAACCTGTTGATTTTCAACTCCCTGGCTATTTTCAAATTTCCTGGTGTAGTAAGGGAAGAATGAAGTAGTCCTTCTAGCTGAAATGTAACTTTCTCCTGAATCTCTGCCTCCACTATTGTCTTGAACTAGAAAACTGCTTTTTGCCCCTAAGATCAGGAACTTGGAGTCATTCTTAACTCTAAATTTAGTTTTGACTTTCTCCAACTTTCCTATGAGCCTTCTTGATTTCCAGATTTGGAGCATTGCCAGAATTTTTCCTTTCTTTACCTTGACTCTCTTTCTGTGATGAATTATTATTCAAGCCTTACATTGTACTTCTCACTTATTGCAAATCTTTCTTTACAATCTGCTTAAAATTGCTACTTTCTGACCTTTGGAAGGTCCCAGAATGGAACATTTCTGATGACTTAAAAGTAAAAGCATCTCAATTCTATGTCACTCTCACTGCCTTTGAAATTGCCCTTCTGATTATTATTTTTTAAAGCTCTCCTTAGAATTTGAGTGTTTTGTCATCTGACTTTGTTTTTCTTCTTTCTCGCTTTCTGCCTTCCTTAGTCTTCTGCTCTTCTCTGTTCCTTCTCCATCTGGGATTTGTTCTTCCTCTTTTGTAGATATAGCTATATTTGAGTTTTTCTTCCTTCCTTCCTTTGAGCCATCAGAAAAGGAGTGTTCCATTTAGAAAAAAAGAAACTGAATCTCTCCTTAAAAACCATCCTTTTACATGTGAAGAGGAAATTTTATTTCCTTGTCAGTTTCTTCCTTTTCCATTTGGGAAATACCAGTTTTGTTTTGTTCTTGGATTGTTGTTTGTTTGGGGGGGGGTTGGGAGGGGGGTGGCGTTAATTTATTGCACAAGTGAGAATGATAGCTGCTTTATTTTTCTGTGTGCTGGGAACTCAGCTGTGCCTGCTGTTGATTGTTTCTCCTCTTGAGTTAGCTAGTTAACAGACTTTACAGAATAGCTTCTGTAGGAGTTGTATGTCTGTTTTGGAGAAAAGAATATGGCTCCCTGTTGTGTAAGTTAGCACACACCAGAATGGGCAGCATTTTTTTTAATGTTGGTAGCGAGAGTTCATAGAACTAATATGTAAAATTCTAAATCTACAGAGAATTTGATTCCAGTGTAGATCCGCTGTAAGATCTGCTTTATGATCAAACATTTTCTTTTTAAGAAACTTTATAGCTTTAATTGTATATTTAGTGCACACACATATGTCTACATTAATGTGGTTTTATGTGTTTATGAGAGAAATCATAAATATATGAAATAGGCTGGAAACAGTATCTTTTGAAATATTTCAGATAATATTCAGGACCAAAATTTTCACCTGGCTGTCTAAAGGATCCCAAATCCCTAATTCAGGTTCCCAGATTAGTGTCTTAATTTTTACTTCTGCTTACCATCTGCAGTGACTAGGACAGTGAAGAGGCTACTACTGACTTCATTTTTTCTGTGGAGTCCAAAAAGATGAAAAAAGTTTGAAAAAAGTTTTTGGTTCCTCACATGATTTCTTAAAATTGTAAGTGTATTAATTTGAGCGCCTAAGAATAGACAGCTGCTCAGTTTCTGAGATTTGCTTTAAGGTTAGTGCTTTAATAAACCTCTAGTTGGTTATTAATTATTAGCAGTGCATGCGTAATGCATGTTTTTGCCTTTGTAATCCCAAGTAAAACATTTCACTTGTTGGAATGCTATCTGGAGCTGTAGCAGCAGTTGTTTTATATTTTATTAACGTTCTAATGCTGTTTGAAAGCCTGACTTTCTTACATCTACAAATTAGCAGATGAGGAAGTCGGCACTTAAGGATATTGGAGGGTTAATGTAATAAGGAATAATAATCCAAAATGGTAATAAATTCTGATGAATGGGTGAAAGAAAATGTTAAGTTATATTTTGAATCTTAGAGACCGTACAGTAAAAATTCAGTAACCAGCAGCAATCAGTATTTGTAAAATGTTTTTACAGACCTAATTTTAGAGAATTAAAGAAAAAAATATTGTGCAAACAAAGATAAGTTAATTCAATAATTATATTTACAACTATTTTACTTTGAAGTTTGGACTCATTCATCATGTACAGTATGTATAATTCAAACTACCAAATAGTTGTAAATTAACAAAATAATAAGTGTTGCATATTTCATGTTGGACTTGTACAACAAAAAGGAAAAATAATATAGCATATTGACTTCTCCAACTTAGATTTAACTCAACTGCTCAGTACATCTACCATCTGTCTGACTGACTCATGCCTCCAGCTGTATTTCTGCCAAGGTACAATTTTTGGAGTATTCAGAGCAAAATGTCAAATCTTATGAAGTGAAAATTGAAATGGGGTTCCTGTTATTACCTCCCGCTGTACAATCCTATTCATTTTAATTCGTTAAGTAAATTTAAATTTAAAATTGTATCCACAAAATCTGTCTCAATTTGTAGCAGTTGCTTCATAAGGTTGTCATGCTCTATGCGTGCCTGTGTGTTTACATGAGCATATGAGCATACACACTAATAAAGCAATATCTAGAACTGTGTACAAATATATACAAGAGTTGCATATTAGCTATAATAATGCAAACTTCTGTTAAAGGAGAATTATGGATAATGTGGAAACTAGCACTAAATTTCTTCTTTGCTGTGTGTTTGGAATCTCATCTGTAATGTTATATTAACTTTTTGCCTTTAATATATACCATTATCATTATTATTTATATTGCAATACTAAACATATGTCCTAAGCATATGTTAGGTAAAATTTAAAAAAACAACACACATTGCAAATAGCTGAAGTATAGAACACTGATAGGAAACATGAAATTCCATTTTTGTAGTCTGACAACTGGCTGAGTTTTGAAAAAAGTAGGGGGCACAAATGTAACCAGTCTGGATGCCATTTTCAGGCTAGTGGTTGCCAAAAACTAGTCCACGCGTAGGTTTTGATCCTGTGAACCCTGACGCATATTATATAGTCCCATTGTGCTTAATGGGACCATTTCCATGTATTTGGGCCAGTTTAGGGCTACAGTTTACACATATTTCATGTTATCTTCTTATCTTTTATTTCTTCTCAGACTTAGTGTTTACTTTTTAAGCCTGAGTCCATTCATAAAGATGCTGTGTCTCATACAGTCATGATACATCTGGTATATCATGGTATGTCACTCTTCTGGCCTGCACAATGTTCCCTTACTTTTTGAAAGAGAAGATGTTGGAGAAAGCAGTGATATGAAAATAGTTGTTCCTGCATTTTTACTCCTACAATCCTACTATTTTGCCATTTAATATAATTTAGACCCAGGTGTTAAGATGCACGCTTAGTAAGTGCTAGAGTTCCTAATACTCCATTTTTTGTGTCAGGCCATGCTAGATGCTTTGTCAGATCTCCCTGAGTGGTATGGTATAAAGGAAATGCAAGCAAACTGGATAGGTGACTCTGTTGGATGCTATCTTGACTTCATGCTAAAGGTGAGTCAGAAATTTGGCTGTTGCTTTTCTGATTGAACTGAGTAATCCAATCGTACATTTCTGTGATGCTTTTTAATATTTAAAAGATTTTGAACATTGCTAAAGGATGCTAGTATGCATTGTTTTCAAGTTATATGTTTATTAAGTATAGCATTATTATTGTTTCTTCTTATTCTGATTCAAGCTTATTAGAGGTTTCTGGCAGAAAGGTTGTGGCAGACCTTTGTATTCTTTTAAGTGAACCTTGGTTAAGAATCCAGGTGTGAAGCAAACTAAGGGCCCGCTCTACATGTGCAGGTAAAGGCATGATGGGATCTAATGCACAATCCACACAATCACACCTCCTGCCATGCTGCATGTCCTGGCAGAAGACATGATTATGGGATCACAAATCAGACTCTATCATGCCTTATTGCCAGTGCAGGGAGAGCCTGATTCTGATCCCAATCCCTGCACTGGCAAGAAGCAAGTTCCTGCATCTGGGAGCTGCCTCAGCTGGTGAGGCTCCAAGCTGCAGAGGTGCCCCACAGCTGGGAGAGCACAGCAGCTCAGATCTTCCAGCCCTGGGGATGTGTGATGTATCCCAGCCATGTGGATGCGTGGTGTGCCCCTGCAGCTGGGAAGCATGTCAAGGGAAACATGTCAAATGTCAAAAATACCCAGTCACCTGTGGGTGCACATTTCTTACAAGACAACCACTCTCTCTCCAATCTCACAGTTCTAATCCTCAAAGTGAATTTATAAAACACTTTTTGCAGATGAGCCTATAAACTTCACTTCATCAACCTACTGGATACACAAAAATCATGGACTAAATACACACATTGGATTTATGGCACATCATAGCCTGCCTAACATCTGGTATACCCCAGTTAACCTCTCTACTATTTATCAGTTGCATCTTATCACCAGGTCTACATTCCACCCCCCAATCTGTTTCTTACCCACTGACTGCCTCAATTTGAATTGTCACTGACTGGCATTCTTGCATACTGGCCTCTGGCTTCTATTCTAGTCTATCCCATCCAGGAAGGGCACAGAACAAGTGCAGATGGTTCCTCAGCCTAAAAGGGGTGTCTGTACCTGAAAGCTTGCAACAAAGAAATTTTCCAACAATTTTAGTTGGTCTAATAAAAGATATCGGATTTACCCAAAGAACCTTGTCTGCCAGTAGGAAGTTAGGCACCTATTCCCAGTAATTTTAAGTGGGATTAGATGCTGATTGCCATGGCCTAACATTTCAGAAATGCTAAAATTCTAGGGACCTTGATTTCTGTGAGTCCAAACTGAGTTGCTTTAGAAGTGCTCAACATACCTGAAAAACAAGTCTTAGTAATATGTTGTAAATTAGGCCCTCCAGAAATGAGACTCCCCAAACCACCAGCAGTGTTGAAAATGCATTGCCTTTGATACATGCCTAAATCTACAGCCCAGCCCTCATATGCTTTACAGTTAATGGACCTGAATTCTGCAGCACTTTAGTATGCCAGTTCTGTGGCAGCTTCATTTAAATTATAAAAAGAAGATTCGAATGAATAAAATATAAAAAAAAATAATAAAATTGGTACAGTACTCCATGTTCGTTATTCACTTACTAAATTCAATGCACTTGACATTGTCCAGAAATCTTAGATTCTGCAGTACAAGGAGTAGATTTTATAGTAAATGCTGTAGCCACCAAAAGACTCAGGACCTTGAAAAGTACTTGTTACACATGTGATTTATACTGTTTCAAAATGAATAGCAAATATTAGCTATGATACTCTCAAGATGGACTTGATCTAATGCCTATTGAACTAAATGGGAAGTTTTCCAGTAGCTTGAATGGGCAGTGTATCAGGCTCAGCAACCCAAACAGGCACTTTAATATGATTATCTCTTTTATGGATATGGTGGTATATATTGAGGAAAGAAAATAAAAATTGTTTCCAGTGGTATTGTATCTGCAGAAATGAGAGCTTTGCAGATTTCAGCCATAATGGTATCATCAGATACAGCCACTTTGATACTTGGAAGTTGAATTTGTTTGGATGAATGGGCCTGTCATGTGCATTGGAAGAAAAAAAAAGTCTAAAATATGCATTTCTAATAGAACAAACTAGCAACAAGTCTGTTCTAGAACATTTTCTGCTCTTTATAAGGTTGATGGCAAAGTAACAGGAGAGAAGTTAGCTGCCTACACCTATACGCCTGAAGCCATTTATGGAGCTTCCCATATATATATCTTACCTGAACATAAACTACTGCATGGCAATAGCAGTCTGAAGGAAGTCTTTCAGAGGGAGTTCATCCCATGCAAAGGTGAGTTGTTGATTTGTTTTTTTCTCTCAAACTGAATTTTGTTCAAGAAGTGTAACAATTATAGAGACTGAGGTTAAAAAAAGAAGTGCATCCAGCTCAGCATGAACAACTGTTGAGAAGAAGCAACTCATTTTGATTCTTTTTACACCTCGTGTAGTATCATTTCACCTTGCCTTGTCTTCCAAGACAATGAGATGATAACTGAAGAAATTATGTAATTCCTAGTATTATAAATGGTTATAAGACCTTAAAAGAATGCAGTTGGTTTCATGAAACCAGAGCAGATTTTGTTTCCTTTCCAGTTCTTTTCAGCTGATGAAGTGGTGGAAAGGATCCAGAATCTGGATATAACTGCTAGTTGCAAAATTCCCTTGATGCAATATAATTATCTCATTAGCATAAAATTAGCTCAGCCAGCTCCAGCACCAGTCTCAGTTTTTACCCCACCGCATTGTAGAGGAAGATGGGAGGAAGAAGAGTATAGTGAAGTTACACTGTTATTCTGATTGTCAGCTAGGATGCAGTTCCATCATTAGTGTTTAGTTAGAGCAGCCCCTGGCAGGTCTTGACTTATGCAAGGACTGGCACAGAATGACCTACAAGACAAGGGAGCTTAACAGGTTTTCTAAATGACTCCTGCACCCACACCTTGCCTGTGCTGTGTAGATCTCTGGCCCATCTTACTGTAACCCATAAAGTAAGAAGACTAACAGGACACCATAAAACAGGCTTACTACAAAATATATGCATGTTTTACTTCCATTTAATCCTGATAATATTTCTTTCAGCTTAATAAACATGAAAGCATTACTTCTGCTTCGTGTATGCAAGTTATGATATAGGGCCAAATCCTTTGCTTTAGCTTTTTTAATACAGTGGAGTAATGTGAGGGAGAAGACAATCAGTGAACAATTATTTCTTTAATTCTCCTCCTATGCTCCCTCCTAGACATAGCTCTAAATTACTGCAGCTCTAAGCAGTCTCTAAAAGATCATTGGTTACTGAACTGAAGCTAGAGCACAGTGCATTTCAAGTGCTCCTCCACAATAATGAATGATGTAGGGGGAGGGATTATAGAAATTTCCTATTTCAGGTCTGCAAGTATGTTGTACGCACCAAGGGAGATAGGGTGAGATATATCCACTTTGCACTACTGTGCTAAGGAGTCAGCAGACCAGAGAATTTTGTCCATAGTTGTTAATAAAATGATCATGTGCAATTCTTCGCACTTATATTCAGTGCACAGAATAGGTGGCTCAGTGAATGAGACAGCTGTTAAATACTTATTCTCTTGCTGCTCAATATGTGGCGATTTCAGGGAAGGACAGGAGTCCTGCAGAAAAAAACAGTTAAGTTTGCATAAGCGCTCCCTGCTTTTTTTTTTATTTTTATTTTTTTACCCCTTCATTTTATAACCTAGATAATTTTCATATGATGTCTTGAGAACCTGGGTTTGGAAGCCAGCAGAAACTTGAGCGTGGACACAGGAGAGGTTCTGCTATATGATTACAAACCAAGGTGCCTGTGAGAGAAACGCTGGATTGTAAGCCTTTAAAAACTCAGCCAAGCCAGAAGAGTTGCTCTAGTCCAGAGAAAAGCGCATCTGAGATTGACCACATTTCATATTTCTGTGCCAGACCACTGAGGTGCAAAGGCTAATCAGTAAAGGTCATAAAATATTTTTTTATAGTGACACACTTTCTGTGCAAAAATATTTTAATCCTTTTTTCTTAGGATTACCAAAAACATTCACCTGCCTGTGGAAGCGTTCAGCCAAGAAAGATAAAAAAAGGTTTTGAGGAAGTTACAAAACAGCAAATAAAGAAACTTTAAAATGGGAACAATTGGATAGCTTTAACTTCAGTATTGCTTTGTGCTCCCGCTGTGTACCATTTACATTTATGTACAACTGTGCATGGAGGACTTGGGGTGACATCCTGCCCTCTCCCCCTGTGATGTCATTGGGAATTTGCTGTTGTCTTTATTTGGGACTAGGTTCACACACAATATTCCATGGTAATATTAAAAATCAGATTTTTTTTGGTGCCAATTCAACAAGAAGTAATTTCCTGACACTACTTTGCTTCTCTGTGTGTTTTCAATTAGACAATTAGGAGGGTATGATTATATAGTTTCTGTGTGCAGGGCAAAATAGCTTAATGTTCTAGCAGATGTATTCTTAGAGTTTCTCTTACCTTTATATTCTATGCAATTACTGTTTCAGTAGAAATTAGCAGTTAGCTTTGGATTGTTTAATCTTTGATCCTCAAATAGTACAGTCTACTTATTTAGAGTCTGAACTGCCTCTCAATATGTGCCAATGTGGGGGCATCCAAGGCAAACTTTTGACCTCTAGATTGTTAATCAGTTTATCAGAAAACATTTAATAGGTTGTGTCTTTGTGTGTGTATAATTAAAATGTTATTTATTTTCCATTGTTATAAAATGCATGAAATCAACTGAATAAATAATGAATTATTATCATATGCTGAAAAATAATTTCACAGGCGTTTCCAGGTTTCAGTGTAACATCACTGCTGAAGCAGAATCTCTTACTCCCTCAGCTTCCTGTTCATGAGGTTTCTGTTTGTATGCTTTTAAGGAAAGAAATGATTCTATAATGCAAAAGCGTTATACCGTGTGTAGAGAGGTTTGTAAATGATTTCAATATTAAAGGCACTAAAAAAAAATAAACATGGGCTCAATCTTCCAAATTCAGATACATATTTTTGAACTGTCCAAACCTCAGTATGATTGGATCTTGCGAAAGAACAGTTACGCTATCTCCTTATGGCTTTAGAAACATGATTTCAAGCCTTAACTTGAATTTGTGCCATAAATGACCCCCTAGGAATCTATTTTGTAACTAGGCATATGGTCATTCATCTGGGGCATCAAAGGAGGCCAGACATGTTGTTAGCTACATCACTCTTTTGTAAGCCAGTACCTACAGAAAATGGTATGCCTTAACCAGGCTAGTTCAATGACCACTGGTCCCAAAAGATAGGAACTAGTTTCAAAATGAAAATCTCAGGTTCAGATTATGAATTCAAATCACCAGCATCAAATCTCTTTTCTCTGTCTATCTCCTCGCATAGGTTTGGATCCAGGGTTTTGGTTCAAGCCTATCTCCATTCTAAATGTAAATATGTTATTTTTTTAAATTGATCAGTTGTATGTCAACACTGGTCACCCTTTTTCATGGTCTTTATTTTCTCTAATGCTGTTTATATTTTTTAGAAGAGAGCAAGTAACATGAGCACCAGCCTTTCAAGTCCTGCACTTTCCTTTATATCTTCAGAATTAATTTTTGCATCCTTTTCTTCCAGTAACACTTCCAGTATGTCAGTTAGGGACATATCTTCTTGCCCCAATTTAAAGCCAGTTTGTATGAGTTTGTGATGATCCCTCATTCAGGTTCCAAATTCCTGCTTTCTGTAAGGTCATTAATGCATTACTTATGCTCTTGCCTGGAAGGAAGACCAGCTGATAGGAGGTACTTTTGTACCATCTTCCTTCACCTCTGGAGGATAACTGAGTTTAACCACCTTGGGGGCAACCAGGTGTAAGTAAGAGCTCCCAAATTTGCCTCTCTCAAATACTTCCATGCTGCAATACCTACTGCTTCTGCAAAGCATTAGCCTGACTTTAATTCATTATTTTAAAGGGATACTCTCAAGAAACCAGTGCTTTGGTTTGAAATTTTTACCTCTATGAGAAAAATAACTCCTAAAATGGCTACACTAGAAAAAAATTGGAAAAGAATAACTTATTTCTAAATTGGTTTAGTTCCTTCATTTTACTGCTAGCCTGTATAATTTGTTTCTCTGGCTTATAAGGATCTTTCTGTTCCCTGAAAACGCATTAAATATGTATTATTAAAATCACAAAAAATTAACATCACTCCTTTTTTAAAAACTGATTAGATTCTAAATTGACTGTGTCCTCTTAAACCCAGTAACACTATTCTTCAAAGTACTGCTTTGTAAGAGATGATAATGTAATGCACAGAGATCTTCTTTTACTAATTAGTGAGTTTCCTAGTACTTCTAAGCTAAGAACAGACTGCCAAAAAGACCAAGGCTGAATCAATTGAGTCTTTGAAGGTTATTCTAAACTGTGTAGATTGAACCAACATGCACGTGAACAGACATTCACTTTTGATTCACTGGGATGCTGGGGGACTGTGAGTTAACTTGAATCTGGAGGGGATCTGGGGTAGAAATTCAATAAACCAATTTAAATCAGTTAAGTCTGATATTACATCCATCCAGGTTTACTGTAAACTGGTTTTGGCCATTTTGAAAGCGGTTTATATGCACCAAGTTTCTGTGGTGTTACAGATTTGCACTCGTTTCCAACACTTACACTGGTTTATGTGTAATTTCTGTCCCTATCTTTAGTGTCATACTTAAATTATGTAATCTTTACATTTATTTGCAGACAGTCTTACTTCAGTGACAGCTGTGAACTTGCTTACCAATCAGGAAATTCCTGTAGTAATCTCTGCAAAATCAGATTTTCAGAACTGTCTTGATACTAAGATAGGTGAGTAATAACTAATATGTATGAGCCACAATGTGTCTTTCTGTTACTGCATTGGACCTGTAGAATGGCCACTGAAAACCACTGAACACAATGTCTTTCTCTTGTCCTTTAGTGGTTGTTTCCTAATTAAGGGAAAGGGAAAGAAAAGGTAACGAGGCAAAATCTGTTACTGGAAAGAGAAGGAAGAGACTGGGTAATAGATGTTAATTGAAGAAAAAGTCCATTAATAAAATTAATAAAATTTAAATGCTGACCTTAATGTAGACTTTCATATGACGATTCTCACATTTCTCTGATCAAGGATTTTATAAGGCATGTATACATAGGTGGACATTTCTTATGATCATAAACCAAGAAAGAACCTTACCAATGGTTAGAGAAAAAATATTTAAAAAAACCCCAAGCAGCAGTAACTTTTTTTCTCTTCTATTTTATGCTTTTAGCAGGAAAAATAATGTATCGTTTAAATGTTGTTACTGCTATAAATGTATAAATTTGTGTGCAAATTAGAGTATATCTAGTTAGATATGCTTTAACATCAGTAAAAGAATTCAGAATGTACAATAATTGTGCACATTTAATCAAGGTCAGTTTTCTCCAAACTGTAAGCCTGAATATGCCATCCCCAAGGCAGACCTCCCCTGCATTAATATTTCCACTCAGTCACTCTTCTGCTTCTTTCTTCAAACCGTCTTGCTACTTTAACATCCTGGGAAAGGTGATCCCATATGTACTGCTCTGTGTGGTGCAGGAAGAGGCTGAGTGGCAAATGTAGAGTATAGCATGGTCATCAAGCTACAGTGTAGGACCTTTCAATTTCTCTGTCCAAATGTGCAGTTTTCTGGAAAGTGAGTGTGTATAAAAGATTGGAACATACCAAAAAACCAAATCATCAGTATCATTCATGATCACAATTGTTACCCCCCCACTTTGTACTCAAATCCCAGATGGGGGTTTCCCCGCCCCCCATGTTAAATGCGGAAGGAAACTTCTCATATTTGAGTAAATACAGTAATTAATATTTGATTTTGAATATATTTAAGGAAAATAAGGGTTTTGTAACTCATTACGGAAACAGTCCTCCTGAGTGACATATGGCAGCTATTGAACTGCATGTAGGAAAACTAGAGGGGAACTGTCAGCTTGTATCAATGTGAATTAGGGTTATTTAAAAATAATGCATCGCTTCATGATATTGGTAAGTTGCAGCAAAAAAGACATCCCTGTGGGTTAAAAGAAAAGTGTGTATTCAAAATGTATGACTGTCCCAAATAATAAGCCTTATATATTCTGACTGAATGACTTATTCCAGCAATGGTAAGAAATACTCCCTGTAACAATATTCTTAGTAGAAGGGTGATGTTATTCTGAAGTGGAATTGCTAGAGATTATTTTTTAATGGTCAAGGAGAAGGTTTCAAAAAGAAGCATTTTAGGCTATCAAATTTTAAAGATGCATTAAAAAAAGAAGTCCTTATACTTATTTTCAAACACCTTAACTTATAAAAATATTATTTAAAAAACAACTGTGATCTTCCTCATTCATATCATTTGTTCGCTTTTTGCATTTTTCTCTACTTAATGTATTTTCATAGGTCAGTCAGTTTTGGCTTTGTCTTAAATTAGTTTCTAAACCATTTTACTTTTAGTTGTCCTGTGCCTAATGCAGCATTTGCTACTTGGGTTGCAAACACTATAGAGTGTTCCCCACCTGAGAAGTGAATAATTCCCTTAACTGCATAACAATCCCAGACCCAATTTCTTGTCTATTGCTTGCATTGTAATACACATCGATTATCTGCATATTTGTTAAACCTATAGCATCTTCAGCCTCCAGGGCCTACTTCATAACTTAATTATGATCTGGTAACTTCACTGTAACTCTAATTGTTTACTTGTAAGTAATTGTACTCTATTTAACTGTGCCAGGAACAGGGAAAAGCAACTTTTAAAGGGCTGTTATTAGAAACCTTGAAAATAAAGGGAGCTAGTCCGTTTCTTTAAATAAAGATTGCTGTTAATGCTGTGGTATCAGCAGCTCTGAAACTGAGTAGCTCTCCTTATTTTCAAGGTTTCTAATAGTTTCTGGGCTGCTATTAGTGGAGAGCTGTTTTTTTAGATCCAAGGGTGTGCACTTAAATAGAGTAACTGAATTTCACCATCTCTTGCCTCCTCACTCCCTCCCCTTCTCCCAAACACCCCCTTCCCTCCCCACAAAAAAGAGCGGGGGGAAAAGTAAAGAAAATGTTTTTGTATGACTTAAGTTTGATTTAAATGTTTTTTTTAAGTTTTTTTAAGATGCAAATGGGTGTCATGAACTGAACATATTTTCACCCTGAACTGAGGAGGAGCTGTCACATTAATCAGTTCCAAAATTGATTATTTTCCCCCTTTTGTTAGGAATTCCTAGCACTAATCCAGAAGATGCTGCAGTAGCTCAGAACCTGGGTCTTTCTTTCACTGAAGTCCTTGAAGTGCTTCCAGATGGTTTGGAGAAAATGATCAACTCTGGAGAGGTTGGTACATGAGAGCACAGTAATAATGCAAGCTAAAATCACTGCTTGGAAAGAAGTTGAATATTTAGCAAGTTTCAAGAGACTTAAGCCATGTGTACACTAGACTTCTGCTGGCATAGTCATGTCATGCAAAGATGTAAAGAGATGTCTGTCATTTTTTACTAAAATAGCTGTACTGGTGTTTAAACATCTGTGGTGTGGGCACAATTTATATTAGCAAACCTGTACTTTTACCAGTATGGGTTGCTTTACTTGTGGGAATGGGTTAACTTTACTGGAGCAAATGACAGCTTTGTAGAATAGCTACATCCACACTAGAGAACTTTGTCAATAGCGTACATTGGTATGTCTGCTGGTAAAGCACTTTTACTATAGGCATAGCCTAAGTCATATATTGAAGGACCCCTCTACGCATGCAGGTAAAGGCGCAATGGGATCTAATGCATGATCTACACAATCGCACCTCCTGCCATGCCACATGCATAGCAGGAGGTACAATTGGGAATCGTGCATTGAGGTACATTGTGCCTTGGTGCCAGTGCAAGAGGAGCCCAAGACCATGATCTCAGGCTGCCCATGCATCAACTCCTGTGGCTGCAAGCCCCACAGCCGACATGTGAATGCCACCGCCACTGCGAGCCTCGTGAGTTCTTGCCATTGCTGCAAGCCCCACACCTCATAAGTCTCATAGCAGCAGCAGCCTTCTCTCTGCTATTGCCACTGTGAGCCTTGCAGCTGCCAACACTGCCCCCACTGCAAGCCCCACAAGCCAGTGAGGCTCACAGTGGTAGCAGTGTTCTCCCCACTGTGAGCCCTGCAGTTGACAAGGCTCATAGCAGGGGCAGTGCAAGGAATGCTGCTGCTACGCAAGCCTTGTCAACAGCAAGGCTGGCATTGAGTGGTGCACCCCTGTAGCTGGGAGACCCTCAGTTGATGGGGCTTCCAGCCATATGGGAGCACTTGCCCACGTGTTCAAGTAATGGCGCTATTAGAACAAGTTACAAGGTTATTACAGATTTTTTTGTGGAATAACTTTGTAGCTTATTGCTTCTTTTATCGCACCATAAATTGGTTGAACGTGTAGCTGGGTCACAACTTAAGAGTGATTACCTGGTTAACTGTGCCTTACGTATAAAGTGTAGAGGGGATCTAATAGAAGAAAATACTGTACTAGTATGAATTTTACGATGTAGATGGAAGAATGAGTTCCATGTACAAAATTGCCGAATGCTTATTCCTCTTCTTTATTTATACATTTCTTTTAGACTAAATATTAGCTTATTATTCCTTTTGCTCATATTTCTTGGAAATTGTTGATTATAGGCCAGTTTAGTAGTTTTACAGCTGTGTAACAGATATAACTCTAAAATAACATTGAAGTCCTTTTGACAACTGCAAGTATTAAGGTCTGAAGAAAGGTGCTGTTCAAAAGGAAATGGGTTTAGTGTCTGCCATAATTTGAGAGGGGTAGGCCCAAATGTTTAAAATGTAGCGCGGGGTGGGGTGGGGGGGTGCAGAGAGTAACTAGAATTTACAGGAAGAGGGAAGCTGATTTACCACCCATCTTCTTCCAGTCTCTACCTTGGAATGTTTATATTCCAGATGCCTTGAAGCAGGTCCCCTAAACAAAGGATAACCCATAGTAATTGCAGATATCTGGCCATTATGGACCAGAAGTGGATAATGGGGTCTCTTCAGCAGTGTCCTGTTCAGCCTGTCAGGGGCAACTTGTTCATGTATTCTTGAACAGAAATATGGTCATGCACCTGTGAGGGCCAAGGGTATATAAAATAGGCATAAGGTATATAAAATAGGCATATAAAAGGGCATATAAAATAGATATTACATGAAGCATCTCTGCATAGGTTGAGTTTCTAATATCTCTGCTAAGTACATGAACAATGATGTTTTGGGAAGAGCATAATGTTCATCTGCCTTTTTATTTGTTTGTCAGTTCACAGGCATGACTAGGCAGGAAGCATTGAAAGCCCTAACCCAACAGGCCAGAAGTAAAGAAGTAGGTGGAGACCTAACAAGTGACAAATTAAGAGACTGGTTAATATCTCGACAACGGTACTGGGGAACACCTATTCCCATAGTTCACTGTCAGACCTGTGGTTCTGTCCCTGTGCCATATGAGGATTTACCTGTGGTGTTACCCAATATAACCACCTTTATGGGGAAGGGAACTTCCCCTCTACAAACTATTCCAGAGTGGATGAACTGTTCATGCCCAAGGTAAGAAAGTGTTACTTCCTGTAACTCTTTGAACCACAGTGTCGCAGTCCCTGACTGCACCATAGGTGAGGGACCATAATGGACCTCAACAGAATAATACTATTTCTGTTGCTTGATAAATACCTCCTTGAGAGAGAATTTATTGCTTTTATAAGTGGGGAAAAGCAAGTGGGGAAAGAGAGCATAGTTTTTTCTCTCTATTTCATTTCTTTACAGTACTTCTTGCTTCATATGGCAAAATTTGTCTTTGGCTTCCAACAGCAGAATTTGTAGGGAATATTTTATTGTTTTATTTGCTCTTGGAAATAACACAAACATCTTGTTGGGTTTTTGGGGGGGGCTGTTTTTTTTTGGACTAATTATCCAAAAGCAAAGGTAAAATGGCAGTTCTCCTGCAGCATATAATCTCATATTTTACCAAGATTCACATATTTGGCACTTTATATATACTGTAGCTGCAAATGATTCAAATGGGAGGAATTAAAAGGTTATGTATCCTTAATTTAGATTGTGATCATACAGTTTGTGGCCCAGCCCTTTAAGAAGGGAAGCATCTTGTTCAGATTTAGAAGGATACAGATTAGTTTGGAAAATCTCTCGTTCTGTCTGTTGGGCTTATTAGGTGTTGGATATATTAGAGTTTGTGCTCAGTCTTGGCATATCTTCAAGTATCTGTTAGAGACAATTTTCTTGTCAGATACTATAGAATACTGCTGGCAACAGAGCCGGGATTGTTATTATCAAGATAGCACGTAGAATAACGAGATACATAAGTATCTGTAAGGTTCCCACTTTTCATAAGACAGGAGCTGTGAATTTCTGGCTTTCCCTGATCTTTTAAAGTTTAGAATATTAATGTGGTTCTCATTTGTAATGAGGAGCCTTAAATACAGCAGATCTGTGTTTGTCTGGAAACAGGTTGACCTGTGTTAATAATGCACCCACAAACATTTTCTTTTTAAAAATGTGCTGTCTTGGGCATGCATATTTACATGACATGCAGTAGCGTGTTTTGGAGTATGGCTGCTGCACAACCATCTCTCTAAATTAATTCTAATATGTAATAGAGCTTTCAAGAATGTCCCCAAGTCTAAATTTATTAATCTTTACTAAAAGGTGCTCTTGTTTGCACTCCAGACTTCTTATCGATTTAAATTTGGAAAGGACTTTATCGTGAAGAAGAAATGCTAATGATTTTGATCTTCACCAATTAGTTATTGTTTCTGCAGGATCTCAGTAGCAAATATATGTAACAACTAATTAATGGTTCTTGCTTACTTAACAACAACAGTATACTGGGTCAGTTAATTAGCCTAAAATGTGCCTATTACTGAAGGTAAAATGTCTTACCAGTGTTGAGCTACTGTTAATTTGACTGCTTCATGTGGTTGCTGTTTCAGTATTCCTGTCAATGTGCCTGCCTGTCTGACCCCCTCAACCTGTCTCGCTCTACCTATGCACAGTCTTCTTAATATGAATGCTCTGATTTTCTTTGCCACTTGAGGGAGATTCTCATCCTTACTTTTACCCTTCCTTCCTTTTCAGATTAATTGTTTTTAATAGGGATTGGGGAAGAGGAGTAAAAGGCTGCAGAGAGATAAGAAGCTTGGTGTGGTCATGTGTTGTGGGCATACATAAGTAGTTTTCTGATGCTGTCACCAGACATCAGTAGAAAAATATGCATAATATGTTTTTCACTGGTTGTATAAATATCTATATTCTGCTTGGCTGGTTGCGTAGCCAGAGTACAGTGACATGCACACTGCACAAATGTGAAGAAGTACCAGGCTGTCAGTGTGCTAGTGAGCCTTGCTCATTAAGAGTTGAGAAAGGTATAATTATGATTTAGTAACTGTAAAGTATCCCTGTATCCTCTTGGAGAGATGGTTCTGTTTGAATACCTTTATTTTGTAAAGAGTGCATTACCCAAATCTCTGGGCATATATATGATATTAAATATATTTGACACGTTAAAGTAAAAGGGCAACAAGAAACCTGTTTCTGTCAGTACTGTTATTCACACAGAAGTAGAAATTTGTTAATGGCAGTTGGTTTTGCGTGGAGACCAGATTGGAGGAAGAAAGTGTTGGTATTCCTCTAAAGACTGCTCACAAGTCAGCATTCCCTACTTAAAACAAATTATGCAAGCATTCATAAGATTGCTTCTCTTCTGTCTTCTTTGCTTGGCTAAGTTAAGAATATGGATAATAATTTTCATTAGGCACCATTCAAGATGAGAGGGACAAACTGCCCCTTTTAAGGTGTTTGTAGACTCAGACAGACATGACTATACCTATGCTTGGCTCACCTTCTGAAGTGTATGATCACAGTCATAAAGGCTGGAGATTTTTAATGGGATTCTAGTTTCTGCATCATGAGTTAACAGCTACCCAGGAAAATTCTGGGCTGCTGACCTGATGCCCTTTGCCAGTCCAGCCCTTTGCACCATGCATTTAAGGTCAACACAAATAATTCAGTAAGGAAGGAAAGTAAAGGCTTTCTACCAAGACCATTCAAACATCAGTTCTCCATAATTACAACTTGGACTTTTATCTCAGATGCCTCTTTTGAAATGAACTATTTCACAGAAAGAGAGGTGATGTTTTGGGTATCCCAGAACCTGAATACGATGAAACTTTAGGAAATTTTTACATGTGCTCCAGGGATGGGTGGGAGGGGAATGCTTTAGTTAGAGTGGCTCTGATAGCTGCTCTAATGAAAGCAGCCACAGCGTCTTGTGTAGCAGTATCCCCATGCTTCAAAATAGCAGTGGAGGCACTTTAACTAAAGTTTGTCAAACAAGCTTTAGTTAAAGTGCCCCTGCTACCATTTTGAAATGCAGGGACACTGACACACAAGACGTGGAAACTGGCTGGAGCGTGCTAATTAGCACACTCAAGCAGACTTCTAACACCCTATAATTGTAGCTCATCAGAGCAGCCTTCCCACATGTACAGGGACCCTTACACACTAAAATGACACCAAGAATCACACCCGCAAGTTAGAAGAAACCAAGACTTCTGCTGAAAAATGTTGTTTAATTTGCTGTGTATAGCTTGCTTTGCCAATCAGACAGGCAGCCACATGCTGTGCTGTCTAAAGCTTCCAGGAACGCTAATGAATTAAAGATACAATCATTTAAGTATTAAACAGCCAGCTGACATTCTTTGTATTATATATAGTGTGCACATGTTGACCGTAGGTTGTAAAATTTCATTTGTGCTATAAATTTGTCATTGCTTTAGCAGCTATAATTTTAAAAGCTGAATTTTTGCAATAAACCTAGTTAAGTGTGGTTTGTTCCCATAAGCAAATTGTTTTTATTGAAAGGGGGAAACAAATGAAAAACTCTTTGATATTAATTTCTGATTTTGAAACTGTTTGTATATGCTGTCCGTGTAATGTCTGGCAAATATTGATTCTCTGTACGGCATTATTACCAAATTTAAATAGTATTACAATGACTGGGGGAAACTTGACCCATCTTAATAAAAGCTGAAATTAAACTAGATTTGTTTTTCCTGGGGATTTTAGGAGGAATCTCAACTAATCAGAAACAACAGTCCTTCCTATCAAGGCAGAAACAATCGAATGTAACCTTCCCTACTGGGAAGTGTCATATAATGATTTAGTACCCATATATTTTGTGGTAACACAGCTTTCTTTACTTTTGAGCATGCATAATATTTTTTCATTTCTTTAAAATGTAAGAAAAAACATTCTCTTTTTTCCTTTCTAGGAGTACTAAGAATTTTTAGCACCATAGGATATAGAACTGGAAGGGACTTCCTAAACCCTTGTTGTTGTTAGGTGACCATGTCATATAATTCCTGTTCATTAATTTATCTAGTTTGACTTTAAAACCGGATAGATTTTGGGTTTGTCTGGGTATTTTTCTCTACTACCCCTGTTGGAAAGCTGTTACAGAACCACACTGCTCTGAGTTTTAAAAACATTTCAGTCTCTAGCCTAAATTTTTTCATAACCAGTTTATATCCATTTATTCTTGTGTCAAAATTCTCTCTTCATCTCTCTTGACCAGGTGCAAAGGACCTGCAAAACGTGAAACAGACACCATGGATACATTTGTTGATTCTGCTTGGTATTACTTGAGATACACTGACCCTCATAACTCTGATAGGTAAGGAATCTAGGCATCTTGCAAACAGGTATGTGGTCATGTAGGCCAATCTGCTTTATAAAGTGGAAGAAAGGGAAATAACAGGGAGCCCTGTTTTTCTGAATGCTGTCTGGCCTTGGATACAGCACAAAGGAACTTAGGAAGAACTGGTCCTAAGGCTATGGCATCCAGTTGTGGTATCCTTTGGGAATGGGTGAAAACAGAGTTTGAAAATGGTTGTTTTACTAGCTTGGAAGCTGAGACACAATGTGCACAGTCTGCCGGAAAGATCACTGTGGGACAGGGAGTCCAAGAGATTCTTAGCTGGTAAACTAAGGAGCTTTATTACCTGAAGGAGCCATTAAGGATGACTGCTTACCACAGCTTTTACCTTTTTAAAATTTTGCTAAGTGATGCTGATCACTGCTTTCACAGTAATAAACTGAAGTCTTTTTTGTGAATTTGAAAAGGCACCTGCTTTTCCATTTGCTAAGTCTGGGAACAGTAAGTAGAAGTTCCTTAATTTGAAAAATGACTTTAGTTTTTCATTTTTTTTAATCTGAAAATACAGCTTCTGTGATAGATACTGATGCAATTAGTTGAGAAGAAGTGGTCAATGGGACATTTTCCCTCAGTGACCCATCAGGGTCTGGGGGAGCATCCATTCACCAAAGCCCCGCAAGGGAGGACAAGAAACAATGAATGGCACAAACTGACTGAAGATTGCTTCAGGCTAGACATAAGGAAACACTTCTTCACAAGTCGAGTGTGGAGGGTTTGGAACAGGCTTCCCCACAGAGGTGGTATGGTCCCCCACCCTGGCGATCTTCAACAAGCATCTGGACACCCATCTTGCTGGGGTCATCTGATCCCAGCACTCTTTGCTGGCCAACTGCAGGGGAGCTGGACCCGCTGCCCAAGTCCTGGGGAGGTTGGACCCAGTGATTTGTAAGGTCCCTTCCAGCCCCTAACAATTATGAAACTTTGAAACTACGAACTACAGTAGCCAAGACTGCTAATTGAGGTCAAGTACTAATACGACGTATCATCTTAGTACTATGCTGTTTATTTCAGTTACATACATCATTAAAAGGGTAGACTCTAGATATGCTGTGTATTGGTGAGTATGGCAAGATGGGCAGTTATTTAGCTGTTTATTCACTCCATATTCTAACTTACTAATAAGCTGATTGTGCCCTTGAGGTGTTCTGTCATAGCTGGCATTAAAGTGTTCTGCACAGTGGCTGACTCAGCTGTCCAGAAACATGTTTTATATAGGCTATCCAGATTAGATTGCTTCATGCAGTTGCTGGACAGCCAGCAAGTAATTACTGTTTCTTGAATACTTTTAAGCACCATTGGGTAGGCAGAAAGACAGCAGTAAATTGGACTGACCTCCTAAACAAGAATACAATGTATCCATCACACACCTAACTTCAACTTTCCTGTATAGCGGAATTATGTAAGGAACTACTATACGTATATGGTGGGATCCATCTAATCTTTACTTGTCATTTTCTGATTTAGAATTTATGACCACCATGTCAAACATGCATATTTGTTAAGAAATGTTATCTGTTTAAAAAAATTGCTGGATCTTCTTTTTAAAACAAACTCTGTCATTAAAACCTTTTAAATGGTTTGGTAGCCTGCTTAGTTTCTTTTGTTATCTTTTGCAACATAGGATACTAAGGTTGATTCTCTTGGCACAGGGCGAGGAGGAGCCAAGAGTTGTGGTTATGAAAATACAGGTGTATAAGAAAGGTTCCATGTATTAGATGTTGGATGCAAACCCTACCTTGAAATAAAAAACAACTCGGGCTAGAGTACTGCCCGCATACATTGCTTATATTTCATTAGAGCAGTGATTTTCAGCTGATGTGCCACAGCACCCTAGGGTTCCATGAGATCCTTTCAAAGGTGCTGTGGTACCTGGCCCATGTGTGAGGATGTAAGCACTCTCCTCCCACACTCATGCAACACCCCATGCCTGCTCCAGCATCCCAAGGGCAAGGACACCTGCAGCTGCTCTTCTGGGGATTCCCACGGCTGCTGCCCTCATTTCTGAGCAGCGTGTTCTCCTGGGGGAAAACGTGGGGCTGCAGAGCCATGGTTTTTAGCCTAGCACATTTCTTCTTTCCACCATCACCACCGCTCCTCAGCCCCTGCTTCCCCCATACTACCAGGGCTGGGAGGAGGGTCTGAAGTCAAATGGCTCTTGTCACTAGTGTGGGAAAGGAGGAACAGCCGTGGCAGCAGAGCTATGCTTGCAGGTAGGAACCAGGGACAAAGAGGGGGCA